TAGGGTTAGTTTTAGGGTTAGTTTTAGGGTTAGTTTTAGGGTTAGGTTCAGGGTTAGGTTCAGGGTTAGGTTTAGGCTTAGGTTTAGGTTTAGGGTTAGGTTTAGGTTTAGGGTTAGGGTTAGGGTTAGGTTTTGGGTTAGGTTTAGGTTTAGGTTTAGGTTTAGGTTTAGGGTTAGGTTTAGGGTTAGGGTTAGGGCTAGGGTTAGGTTTAGGGTTAGGTTTAGGATGCTGAGTGCTTGGGAATGCGCAGATTTGCCCTCCGGGATTATGTCATCGTGGTAGAGTCGCGTTTTTCCTTAGCATTTCGAACTGCGCAAATTAGTCTTCGCGCTTATGTCTCCGCGGATAAGGGCTTCGCGGATTTGTGGTGGAACCGATTTCTCCTTATCTCTAGCTTGCTTCTCTCTGAACAGATGCTTCCATTTCCAATTCCATCCAATAAGTCAAAAATCTAACTAGTATGAGAACAATGACTCCAATAATTCTTAGTCCTCAGCTATTTTGACCTAGTTTGTGAGAACAAGAAATACAGTTCTAGGAAAACAAATACCCCTTTAGATTTTCTGATTTTTTTGCAAAACTTTGCTGCTGAATATTATCAAAACTTCATGAGGATCAACTTCGTTGAAATGGGCATCCATGTTCTTAGTGAGCAATGGCTTCTACTCATCATTGTAATGAGAACCTTTTTGATCTGGCTTTAACACTAGCTTTAGCAAGGGTAAAGAGAGGATTGTAATAATTGGATGTTCTTCTTGTTTTTGTGATTTCCTGGGTGATTTTATGACACTTGATTTGAAGAAACGGTCAACCTTGAAAAGATTTGCCACTGCCCAATTTTTCTCCATTTCAAGACTCTGTGTTGCTCCAAAGTTTTAGAAATTGTTTTGTCAATTTTTCTAGACTGATGGGCATCCATTAAAGGTAGTCCTTTAATTGATTTGGGTCAGTACTGGATCTGGGTCAACCTCATATATTTTGATTGATTGTTCAGGGAAGAACTTCATAAACCCTACCAGTTATCTCTTACTTTAAATCACAGAAATATTATATTATATTGACGTATCAATATCACCATCACCGAGGTGGCGCAGTGGTTAAATGCAGCACTGCAGGCTACTTCAGCTGACTGTTATCTGCAGTTCAGCGGTTCAAATCTCACCGGCTCAGGGTTG